GTGGGGTTTTCAAAATACACATTGGGAGCACGTTCAGATTAAATTAACAGTACAGGTTGAACACCAGTAGTATGGCACTCCAGTGCTTTGGTATTTCAACCCCTGAATATACAAAGACATTACTACAGCCTACTTCACAGTTTAATGCAAGTAAAGTGCAAGCCATAGTACAAGGGTGTCATACATTTTCATACATGTAAGCATTATCTAGAAAAGGCTCTCTATACAACTTTTATTAGCTACGTTAGTAAACTAGATAGAAGTCACCTATGGCCCAGCAATTAATGGTCTTACAAGGATATTTTCTTTGTAATACAGTATGTGTCAAATGTAAAAAGTTTATTAATACTAGTGCACTTCTCTTGTATCCTAACCTGCTTTTTAGATTCTTAAGTTGAAATCCTTGTTTCTCAGTAAAACAGAAGTCTTAACTGGTAACAGGGTCTCACTGTTATTTTGGCCAGTGAACAAGATTTGTTGATTAAGACATACTTGTTTTGTGGTTGCTAGTGAAAAAAAATGCAATAGACCTAGTATGTATAATGTGGTAACCTTATTTAATCTGCAGCATTCAAACAGATGCATTTACAGTTAGTAAAAGATCTGTACTGATACCCTCACCAATGCCTGAGAATGAATAATATTCTAGAAATGTGAGGACAGAAGCTAGTGGGCATTTCTGGTCAAACGATATAATTGTCCATGTGTTTTATCATTTATATAACATTGCTTTCTTTCAAGTACTGCTTATACAGTGGCATTAATGCATACAGCACAGTCCCTAATTGTCACATACAGTGCTTGAATGTATCTGAATAAAAGCAAAAAAGCTATCTTTGTCTCCTCAGGACTGGCCTGCATTAAACATGAGTATTTTTTTCTCCTGAAGACAATGACACACAGTAGTTCTTAAAGTTTTTTTTTTATGTTTTTATTAAATCTAGATCACAGTAGTCTCTCAGCTATATTAAGCACTGATAAAATCTTAATGTTTATTTTAAACCTTCTTCTAAATAGGGGAGTATGGTGCAAACTATAACATGTAGAAAGTAAGCCTCAATAAAAAATACTTCTTCATCTATTAGTTATATAAAGAATAGAGAATTGGTTGCCTGCACGTTAGTGAATGGAACTGATCAGAATTTCAGTACTATGTTTATATTTTATGGGAGTTAAGGAAATAGCTTTTTAAAAAATCAACCAACAAAATCAGACTTGATTTTAAGTAACAATGAATTTACCATTTATCTTGATAAACACCTGATAGTATGGCTCATGTTTGATTTTTTAGTACATATCAAGGTAACACCCATTGAGAGCCTCTGTTTCACAGTGTCAATTTATCTGGGATAAAAGCAGAGGGGAAATCCAGCTTGCCTGAAAATGGTACTTTAAACCTTAGCTTTCATAAGGAAAATATTATAGAAAGAAATGAACTATGTTTTTTTGAATGAGTTAATTACCTAATATTGCTCCTTAAATCTTTCCTGTTATTACCCATTTCTTGTACTATGGGTAAATAAACATCATTTGACAATATGGAAGAGAGCTTATCTCCAAGGAGATGATAAGCTCAGTGGTCTAAGGCAAAGTGGAAAGTTTGCTACAAACCTGCACTTCAAAACACAGAAGCATTACTATGACCTGTGTCATTCTTTCCTCCTTATAAATGCCCAATTTCCCTGTTTTGAAAATTAAACTGAAATAAATTATCCCATATCAGATAAACTTACCATATATTTCTCTATCATTACACTACTAGAACTTGGGCATATTATTAGCAGTATTTTCAGGACAGAGACCCAATTATACAAGAGGAGCTATGCTCTCCTTCTTGAGGATTTTTCCAGGACTAGGTCCACAAACACTAGCCTCTCTGGAGACACAATACATGCTTATGCTAGTACATTGCTCTTTAGACTAATTAAATCTGTGTGTTAGACATCATTCATACTCTGTTTCTTTGGGGGGTAGCTGACAGGTATAACAGATCAATGCCTGGGGTTTAAGTTTTGTTGCTGTGAAGTTTTTGTGCTGCATCCTGCCTCGGTGCAGCGTCTTGTCAAAGCCAAGGGCTGTTTTACATGACCTGCTTGTACAGCTCTGCAGTTTGCCCAAACCACCGCGGCAGTATCAGGAAACAACTCAGCCTGGCAGAGCTGCCCAGCCCCAAGGGCCAGCAGGCAAGTTTCACCAGCATGTGCAGAGCCCACGCATACACGATCCTTGTCCAAGTACCACTAGGTTTTAGTGGGGAGGAATGTTTTTATTAGTTTGGAAGACAGGTGAGACTGTATGATAAACAGTATGAGCAATAATGCATGTGTGGGCTTAGGTCTGATTTATATTACTTCAGAGAGAGAACAGAAGAATTTTCTTTATTCTCCTCAATTTCATATTAAGTTAAGCAATTTCTACCAAAGCCTTCACTTCTCTATCAAAAGTTTTGCATCCAGCCTACTAACAGTCCAAGTGAAATCTTCTAAAAGTCAACAGTAAAACTGTACAAATTTTAGTGCGACTGAACAATGTCCAGAGCCTCTGTAAAATAACTCCTTCAGAGTTACCTATATCATCATTCACACAACTTTGAATCAAAGAACCTTTATTTTGGCCTGAAAAGCTGTAATTGCTGAGGACGGTAAGAATAAAGTTAATTTGCCATGTCTAGCTAGCAATTCCATGCAATGCTTTGGTATTTGTGAAATCTCACTTTCATATCTGCACCATATTTCTAGCTTGAAAGACAGCAGTCCAGATCCTATTCAGAACTCCCTGCTTGGAAAAGAGATCACATATCATCCTCCAAAGATACTTTGATAGAAGATGATCACTCTCATCTTTCCTTATGGTGCTAAAGCATAATGCAGTTGAAGAAGCACTCACACTCAGCGAGGGCTGTCAGAAGCTGACAAAACAGTGGCTTTTTTTTTTCTGCCAGTGACGTGAAACAACCCGCTCTGATTGCTGTGAGGGCAAATGTAACCCTGCGTGTGCTGCTGGGGAGTATGGACGCAGTATTTTACTACCTTATTTATGTTATAGAATTTAGATATACAAATCGGTAACAACTTCTTCTCTCTTGGATTATTTCTTGTTCCTATTAATTAGACTCAATTCAGAAATATTTTCACTTAAAATACATGAAAAGGAAAAAAAATTAAGATCTCTCAGGAAGTGCTAAGACAGTTACTAAGACAGTTCTCAAGGATCAAAGAACTGAATTCAAAGAACACACTACTAAAAAAGGAATCAGTAGTTTAGAGGAAGCACGAAATCTGTTATATTGAAACCATTAACAAAAAGTCAACTGATTCAATGATTGATTTTCTGTGGTTAAAAATCTATCTAGGAGGAATTCTGAAAAAAGACACAAGATCTGAATAAATAAAAACATCTGAACACGCTCTCTGTATATCTGCACATATTAAGAACCATCTTTTATCTCAGAGTTCAGGCAGATAATCTATTTCACTAATAATGAATTGTATTGGTGCTGTTTCTTTTGATAAACTCAACAGCAAACTGTTTAGGTCTTTTCTCACCTAAACACCTTATATAATAACCTTTTTCTTACTTCACTGCACTGTTTTTCCCGTGCTATGTGAAGCATTAAAATAGTGAAATATATACATGATTTTCAGAGATCTGATGTGAACAAGAGTTCGGAATGAGTGAGTTCTCTGTCAGTGCTTCTGCTGTTCAGCTGCACACTAAAATGTTGAGATAGTAAATACATTTAGATTGAGTTTCTACTTTTTGCATGAATACTGAAACTCTGATTTTGATGAAACCTGCAAACTATTGTTCTCTATCATCTCCTGTATTTTATCACTTTGGGTATTTATACAGAGGCTTATGTATGCTGAACTTCAAGCAAACCATGTATAACATGATCCTGCTCCTTTGAAGTCACTGGAATTTTGCTGTTCACTTCAATACTGCTGTAACAGGCTAAATATGTCTTCATCCTGCATGTTCTAGGCAAATACTATCAGGAATTTGTTGCAATGATGGTATGACTCAGGATGCTTTGCAAGAGTCAAAATGACTGCTGGTAATACTTCCCTATTAACAACATATCTTCAGATATTATTTCAGATTACTGGTTGCTTAATCACTGCATGCACCGGGGTTCGAATAAATGCCAGTCCAAGTGAGATTATAAACCAAATCTGAGTTGTGTTTCTTCAGCTGTTCTGTGCACACTGTACTATGGAAAACAGGATACATTCACCCAACTCTGGCTTTGTGAATAATTAAATCTCTTCCTGGAAACTAGTACCTCTTGGAGACACATTTTTCCCCACATTTTATTGAACTGTGTAACTTTTACACTTCTTGATACATGAAAGACAGTAAGATTAATGTTGTAAAAATGTTTCAGTGAATATTTGTGTTAATTTGCAAGTGAAATGACTTCAACTGTATCCACATTCCCTCTGTTCTGCTTTCTAGAAATATTCTAGCCAGCATATGTGCTCCGGGGAAATTGCAGATACATGTCTGAAATTTATGTTCAGTAATATTCAGAATGACAAGTATGTACTCCAAAACCTAAGTCTTAGAAACTATTCTCATCCAGGTAAAACACACTGTGTATTTCTCATGTGTCTTCTCAAAGCCAATCAATACAAACTAGTTCCAAATGCTGTATTGAATAACTTCCACCCACTTACTAATGGGCCTACAGTTAAACCTACAGTTAAAAATTATTGCCATACATTACATAATTCAGAATAATTTACTCAGTTCTAGTCAGTCTGTTACAGAATTTATTTCATAAGTTCTCTTTTTTTTCAAGCTGAATTCTCAGCTTTGAAGCAAGAGAACTTTTCTGAATTTTGTGACTCACAGGCTTGTGTCACGTGGATTCACAGTGAAGAAACCATGAAAACCTGCAGTGGCTACCATATGCAGTGCAGATGGTTTTGTGTTTTTTTTTCCCCTCCACGAAATGCTTCAGATTATATTAAAATCAGTTTAAGTTGCAGCATTAGCGAACGACCAACATTGTTCTACTCATATCTTAATTTCTGTGCCACACCTACTTGCTTATAGTCATTCATGTTAAAGGCAGGCACATTATTCTACAAACACAGTATCTAAATGTCATGTACAGTATGCCCATAGGGCCACATTGGGATCTATTTGCTAGATGTACAGTGTACATTTTAAGGCACACTATAGGGATTGAGTTTACATTTTGACAACTCTGTCCTTTATTTGCAAAGATGGTCACTATCTGGAAATGTTGCAAAAATAAATGTTCGTCTCTAAGAGTGGCCAATACATTTATGTTTTCATTGTATATTTTCACAAGAAAGATGCGTGAAAATGTGAGTTTTAGGGCATTTTAGAAGTAAATGTCAACTACCATGTTACATTTTATATACATAGATATGTTTGTATATCTATATCTAAATATATAAAATGATTGTAAGAGCTCATACTATAAGCTTAACTTTAGTACAGTACTTTAAATATACTGGAATTAATTTTCAGTTACACTTCTGCACTGCTTCTTTCTAATGCAGAGCTTGATACGAACATCAGTTGATCATACCAAATGAAAAATTCAGAAAGAATATTATTGTCTTATCATGCAATGTTGTAGGCATCCTGTGGCACTATTCTCTAATCCCGCCTATTTACAATACTGCTGAGTACATTATTTATAACTATTACAGTGTTTGTCTTATTGGATTTTTCTTGGCACCCAGCAATTACTCATGATACTAGTCCTGTCACACGTGAGTTTCAATGAATGAATGTGTGTGTGTCAGCATTGGTGCTGAGGTTGCAGGTTCAGAGCCTCCATTCTGTGATTTCGGAGCAGAACTGTACTCACAAATGTCCAGGAAAAACTCATAGTTCTTTATTTTCCAATCTTTAAACTTCTTTGATGTTAAGTCAGGATCATCCAGAAGGCTGTTGATAACTGTGAGGTCTCCTTCCTTCGCCTGTCAAATTCCAGAAAGACACAGCACACATCAAAATCAAATTTGTGCCACATTTTGTAATTAGGCATTTCATGTCTTTTTTCATTTTAACACAAAATTCTAAGGGTTATTATTACTTACACTTAAATCTTTTACCTGCTGGCATCTATTACAGTAGCTTAAACTGTCTGAGAGTTCAGTCCTCTGCACTTTCAGCGACACGCCAAACACAAATACTATTGAATTATAGTTTTCAGCCAGAACAGTATTAGCTTAGGTTCCAAAAAAACTACAAAGAAGATCCCAGCTCTGGAAACTGTTCAGAAATGATAAATTCACATCATTCATATACAAAATTAATAATAAAATCTTACTTTTAAAGTGCTCTTGAGAACTCTGATGTGGTGAAGTTTTTCATTGATAACTGGATCATTGCATCTCTTGACGAAAGACTTGCGGAACTCCTGCTTGGTGGAAGGACGCTGTTCTCCAAAAGCTGATAAGCTAGCTTGTTCCAGAGACTTATACAGCTCTTGCAAACCGTCCGTATTCTCTTCAGTCTCATTTTTGGTTTCTGAAAGATGATAAAGAAATAACTCAAAAATAAATCCAACAATTCAACTGGAATAAGAAAGTCTCTAAAAATATCAGGGAATACTGCAAATTAGTATGTAGTAACACAGTCTTCCAATACTCATTTTGATAAAAAATGAGCAGTGTGATCAGCAGCAAAGTTGCATTACATCCAAGCATTTTAAATACAAATTCCAGCATAGGGGCTGATGCACCTGACAAAATAGAGCCGTTCAACTAGAAAAGCCTTGCTGAGAATACTAATATTACTTTATAATATTAATACTCATCTTTCTTCCTATGGCAGTAGGGGTTGGGGAGATCACAGTCACTCCAAGAAAGCTTACCTTCTGTACAGAAACTATTATGCCTTCTAATAAGTATGTTCTCTTCTGTCTTTTCTTCTGCTACTTCCATGGACTTCATACGCCCCTTAACACGGACATCTCTGTTTCGTGGAAGGCTCTGACTACGTTGCTTCTGTGGCCGATGGGAACTGTGTCCTCTTTGGCACTCCGCCAAGGGGAAAGGCCCATCCCGCTCATGATTGTGACGCCTCTGAACTGGCAACGTTGCCTGTCTTCGTTTCTCTGGGGACATTCCAGGCCGGCCACTCATGTATTCCGTATCAGGAGGAACAGTCTGAAGAAAATGGAGCCCTGAACTGGTTAATGGGGTCTCTATCAGATCCTGCCAAGAACGTCTTTCTCGGTAAGGAGGCCTGCACCCTGACGAGTGTGTGCTGCCTGCTGCGTCCTGCCGGGAATCCTCCGCGGAAGAATGAGAGTAGGTTGATTCACTTGAAAAGTGCCGACCGTGTTTGGGTTCAGGAAAGGGACTTGAAGAATTCACCTGAAAACAAACAAAAGCACCCAACTATAAGACATCACTTTGAATAGACTCAAGAAAACCACTGCTTGTGTAGAACACTATATGATGTGCTAATAAAATGAACTTGTGTTTGTTTTGATATGCCGTAATGTAAACATCTCTCTCGAAAAAACATGTAACTACCAATTCAATCCTCTATCCAAGTGTGATATTTCAACCACTCCCTATTCTTGTTTTGCACATTCTCTGCCCATGAGCAACGTCTGCTGGAAACAGTGCTGGGAATGCTGGTACATGTTTTCTAAAGACCTCCCCAGCTTGCACACAGTCCAGCAATGCGTTGGGAATACATGAAAGGTCCCAAAGAAACCATAAACGGACTTCTTTTCACTTTAAGGGGACGAATATTTCAGCCAAACAGGAAAGAAATACTTCAACATCCAGGAAGATATTTGAATTTTGGGGGGTTGCTGAACATATCAAATAATTTAATTGAATTGTACTGGCTCTGTGTATAATTTTAATTCAAACATGAAGAGAAAGGCAAAAAAAGTGAAAAAACAGAAAGGGAGGGTCTTAACCTGTATCCCAGTTGATAAAACAGCATCACATGGGTGAAAAAATCAGTCTGAACTTCACCCATGTGATGCTGTTGTCTCAGTCACTCTTTCTTTCGCTCTGGCTGTGTGAGGATCATGTCATTCACGCTGAAGAAAAATCTGAAAGAAAAATAGAGAACAGTCCTATCTGTGCTTAGAAACATAGATTAATTATTACAGTCTACATTCTGTATATTAGAAATGTTCTTATCTGCTACTGGAACCTGTTTATATAAAAGATGGTAATATCTTTTTCCCAGTTATCAAAGCCTGTCCATACACAATATACTAGGAGTATTTTTACCAGCTACTTAACATCCTATGACACTGATACAGAGAATACTGTAAATACAATGGTATTTTATACAAAGCTTCATTTTGCAAGCAACTTACCTCTGAAGAACTGTTCTTAAAACGGAGGTATTTCATACTAAAACAGGATTATTGTGTGAATGTGATTTAATCTTACTTTAATATAAACTAGTCTCAGTTAACACAAACTATTCCATTCACCACTTTCTTCTCACGCTCTACACTAAAGACATTTGAATTCTCTCTGTGTTGGGTTTGGTTTTCTATATCCTACAAAAAACTGCAATAGTTCATGCTAGTGAAGTAGCTGTGTAAGGAGACATTTTGTCTCTCCTGTCTTTGTAATGGCTTATTTTAGAAACAATCAATTACTTTGTGATAAGCAGCAGTACTTGATTCTTAAAGTGAGCTCTGTCTCTGTTCTGCCTTTATGGCAATTAAATATTCCAAAACAAGAAAAATGCAAATAAAGGCATACACAAATCTTTTGGTGACTTAGAATCAAATTTAAGACTCACTGAGGGTGTTCGATGGTAGGTGTCGCACAGTGTTGAAGAGCCTTCCTGCTTCAGCGTTGAAGAGCCATCAACATCATCCTGGTCGCTTTCACTCCAGTAATCTGCTAACAGAAATCCAGGTTTCACCCGTGCGTTTACTCACAGAAAACCCATGCATTGTTTTCAAAACACCATTAGCAAGCAAAGGCAAACATTTCACAGGCACCTAGGCGCCTTCGCAGTCACTAAGGAACAGACTTCTGGAAATCTCTAGTACCTAAAATGTCAAGAGCTTTCAAATACCTTTTGGTAGTGTTACAGAAAGCAGGTTAAGCACCTAATTCCCACTATACATAAAAATCTTTCAGCCAAAGACTTTTCAAGGTAAAATTTCTAGCAAATGCTAAAGTAGAGCTGGGCTAAACATTTAGTTCGATTGTTGTTAGGTAACAGATTCCACCAAGGATGAAGAAACAGTCTGTTACCTGGGCTGAAAGATTTTTATGTATAGTGGGAATTAGGTGCTTAACCTGCTTTCTGTAACACTGTGACATCCATCACAAATTTTAGTGCTCTGATTTGGGAAATTGTAACTCAGTCTTAATCTAACATTCTGTTTATCACTTGTGTTAAATATTTTTTCAAGTTATTATTCCATATTTTATTTTCTCTGCTGAAGGCACTATTAAATATAGTTTCAAAGAATATTAATTCTCATGAAATGGATGTTTTAGAAGACATGGCGCATATGTTAGTAAAGGCAGTTATGATTCGTCCAACTTTGTTGATGCAATGAGTAGATGGGTACTGTCTTGCTTCCTATCCTAATTATATCGCCAGAAGTGTTACCTTCATCGGGATGAATGTCCTTGTCATCAGGTGTGTAACCAATTGCCGCGAGGCCCAGACGATTCATCCATCTAACAGCAACGAACAAATGAGGAAGAGGGATACTTAAAATTAACATCTAATATAAATGTGAGAACATACACATTCTTGTAAGTGATTAGTCTAAAAAAACAACACTGTTTGGGCTGCAGAAAATGGTGGAAAATTAACAATTTCAAGTAAGTCAAGGACATTCTAGTTTAAAAACAGTTCAAATGTGGTCTCCCATCCACATCTCCTGAATTATGTCTGCAAGAGTGGACTAGCAGACTTCCTGCATTTCACTCTGCTGCCTAAAAAGCTGAAGAATCACAGTGACAGCATTTCTCATGTCACAAAGCAAACACGAAACATACAAGCTCATGTGTTAATTACTGACTTTGTACGGGACTTTTAGCAGATATGCTACATAGAACAGAATTCTCAACTGTGTCTCCCCCTTAAATAGTATCAAAGTCTCTCTGAGCTGCATCTAGAAATCATTTGTGTGGAATAATTTCCAGACGCTTGGCACAAAGGAAGATATTGCATTTATTCTGCTTGCCATTTCTATTAATTTCAAGGCATCTCCTGAACATACTAGTATAATACTAAAAAAAGAAATATAGTGAGGATCAAAGTTGTATGAAAACCTCTTCTAGGATATAAATTGCATTAAATTTGTGTACTCAGAAAGCTAGAATGGTCTGTAACATTAGACCTCTGATTTAGTTAGTTGTGATTTATGAGACCGGTATAAAATTTCATGTTTGAAGATATAGGATTTCACAGAATCACAGAATGGCTGAGGTTGGAAGGGGCCTCTAGGGATCATCTAGTCCAATCCCCTGCTCAAGCAGGGACACCCAGAGCACGGGGCACCCGGTTGCATCCAGGCGGGCTTCAAGATCTCCAGAGAAGGAGCCTCCACAGCCTCTCCGGGCAGCCTGTGCCAGGGCTCTGTCAGCCTCCCATTAAAGAATTCTTCCTCACATGGAGATGGAATTTCCTGTGTTTCAACTTACAATTGTTACCCCTTGTCCTGTCACCAGCCACCATGGAGGAGAGTTTGGCCCCACCCTCCCTGCAATCACCCCTCAGGTACTTGAACACCTTGATCAGATTCCCTCTTGGCCTTCTCTTCTCCAGACTAAACAGGTCCAGCTCGCTTAGTCCTTCCTCATGCGACAAATGCTCCAGTCCCTTCATCATCTTCATGGCTCTGTGCTGGACTCCCTCTAGAAGCTCCACATCCCTCTTGTCCTGGGGAGTCCAGAACTGCACCCAATACTCCAGGTGCGGCCTCCCCAGAGCTGAGTAGAGGGGCAGGATCAGGATCCCCTCCCTTGCCCTGATGCCAATGCTCCTCCTGATGCAGCCAGGAGCCCACTGGCCTTCTTGGCCACAAGGGCACGTTGCTGCCTCGTGGGTAACTTGGTGTCAACCAGGACTCCCAAACCCCTCTCTGTGGAGCTGCTTTCCAGCACGTCAACCCCTAATCTGTGCTGGTGTCTGGGGTTATTCCTCCCCAGGGGCAGGACCCTGCACTTGCCCTTGTTGAACCTCATGAAGTTCCTCTCTGCCCAACTCTCCATCCTGTCGGGAGTGTCAGCCGCTCCTCCCGGTTTGGTGTCATCTGCAAACTTGCTGAGGGTGCCCTCCATGCCCTCGTCCAAGTCATGAACAACATGACAACATGACAACATGACAACATGAACAAGTTGAACAGCACCAGGCGCAGTATTGACCCCTGTGGGACACCACTGGCCACAGGCCTCCATCTAGACTCAGCCCCATTTATGAGCACCCTCTGGGCGCTGCCATCCAGCCAGTCCTCAGTCCACCTCACTGTCCACTTGTTCAGCCCACACTTCCAGAGCTTCCCTATGAGGATGTTGTGGGAGACTGTGTCGAAAGCCTTGCTGAAATCAAGGTCAAGACAACATCCACGGCTCTCCCATCAGCCATCCAGCCAGTCACCCCGTTGTAGAAGGCTATCAGGTTCGTCAGACATGACTTCCCCTTGGTGAATCCATGCTGACTACTCCTGATCACCTTCTTTTCCTTGACATACCTAGAGACGGTCTCTAGGATGAGCTGCTCCATCACCTTTCCAGGGACAGAGGTGAGACTGACGAGCCTGAGCAATGATCTGCTCTAATATCAGATCTAACATTGACTCATTGTACAGCAAATCACCCTATTAATGCCATGACTTTCTTAAATATCCAAGTGGGATAACGTACTTCCTTCTCATATAGAATTAATACAAGAATTAGCTTACTTGCAAAACTAAAAATATTGAAAATTGTACAATAATATTGCTTTGCCCTTCAACATTAACAATAAGTAATAAAGTAAAATAAAAAATGATCATTAGTTTTCACAAGTATCAACTGTAGGGTTAAAACTACCTCTAGACAGCAACATTGTTCATATCAACATGGTAATTACTCATTTTACTATAGTGAAGGAAGCAAATTTCAAATGGATTAACAGGCTGACTGAACAGCTTATTTTCTACAGTGCTCTCCACCATAATTTCATTCAACAAAGGGCATGCTGATCACTTGAGTGACATTTGCTTCTCTTGAAAAACATATTATTTACTGCAGTAAATGAAATGACACCGTACCCTACTCATGAGTAAGCATTTGTATTCCCAGTTTTTAACTATTTTTCAGTAGCTGCTGAACAAGCTACTTTCAATGCTATTTTTTTTTAATAAAGCAAGCTACTCGCATTTTTACTAAGAGAATGGACAATCAAGCTTACACAGAAGTTCACCACGCTGACGCTCTATCTCCCTAGAAAGCCTGGCATGCCTCGTAGGCAAATGTCAAGTTCAGGAAGGCAAAGGGAACGTGTGTCAGAATTAGAATCTTTTAAGGCATAGATGGCTGCATGTTTCATCAAAGATCAGGCAGTGCAAGACCATGTGCTACCTCTACCAAGCAGCTACAGTGAAAAAACAGGAGATAACTTGTCTCTGTTGTTTAATACAGCTGTTCTCATAGCACTTGGAATTCCATGTGATCACAAGGAGACATGACACATCCTGGCAGGTACAGGTATATCAATCTTACATATATATTCTGGTTCCCCCACTCCTCTTCCTCCACAAAATCTAGCTTTTTTTTTTCTTCTTTGATAAATTTTAATTTGCAATAACTTACAATAACTATTTACACAGCACAGACATTTCATACTAGTAACTACTCTGGCTTAAGTGGGTTTGAGTCTTGGCCACAAAGGGTTTGCACTCTGCAGACTGGCTGGGATGCACATAACGTACAATATCTATTTTACTGAGCAAAGATGTAACACTCAGCAAGTGATCAAAATCACATTTTTATTACTCTGATTGCCTTAATTTAGCAAGAAATGGTAAGCCTCAAGTAAAAGCATTTAAGTATGCAGGTAAATTCTGTATTTTATCTCAGTGGGTTTAATTCTAAATAATCAGACTCTGGTTTAATTAATTCTGTTGATTACAAACAGACACCACTGTCATTGCTCTGGGATAAAACAGAGCTGCATGGTAGGACGTTAGGTTAAATTTACTGAGACAAATTCTGGTTAGTATCAGGAACTACAGCCCAAAGGCTCTTCTGAGAGCCTGATTCCAGCCCAAGGCCTGAAAAAGGAGGCTTACAAAGAGACTGAGGGCAGTCATGAACTAAGTAGCTTTGATAATAATCAAAACTTGATAGCAAAGAGTGAGTCATGCCTGAAATGCCCTGAATAGTCTCCTCAGGTCAGGAGTCTGGAGCACATTCTCTTACTCATCATCTAATGAAAACACTGGAGAAATGCTAAAATGGGCCAAATAGACAGGAAATATTTTCCATACAGCTTTACAGCCCTAATATACTATATTAAAAACAAAAAATGCCATTACTTGTTATACAAGTGCCGCAAGTATTTGACCAATCTGACAAACAAAATTTACGTGAGATGAGCGTAATAATAAGCCAATATAAGATCTTGGTAAATTTGGGGGATTGAAGGCAACTACACTTTTCTTAGCAATCTTTCATATTCACAAGCATCCAGCAAGAGAAAGAAGCAACCTAGACAGGAGTATATGTTTTTATTAATGGTGTTAGAAGAATTTTTATTTCCTTGATTCGGAGACACATCTCCTGAGGATAACTATACTGCTTATATAAAAAGAAGAGGAGAAGCAAAACAGAATGCCAAACATTTACATCATTATATCTAAGGACATTGGTAACAAAGGTCAAGAAAAAATAATGGCCATGGCAAAAGACTGAGATAGGACCATGCTTTAAAAAAAAAATAAAAAAAAGAGAGAGATTGGAAAGAGATGAGAGAAATACTGGTGTTATGGAACATATTTAGAATTGGAGGAGTATGGTGGGAAATGTACAAAGGCCAAGACTAAGTTAATTTAATTCATCAAAATGCTCTCATTAAAATGAGTACTGGTATTAAGAATGGCTGGGGGGAAAACAAAAGAAATGTTTAATTAAATATGTATTTCTTCTGAGACTAGAAACAGAGGTATGGCTGGAAGAGGAAGGAAAAATGAACACAGAAAACAGACTTGATTATGCCAGAAAACGATCTGGAATGACTATGGGAGCAGTCTTACAACAAACAAAAAAATGAGGGAACTAACATGACGCAGTTGTACATAATGTTAATGTTTCTTTTTAGACAAAGAATTAATTTTTCTTCCACTTTTGAGGCTGATCTGGCAATATAGAGGAACAGGATTCCTATTTGAAAACATTTCTTCATATTTCTCTTTGCATTTTGCTGGATAAGGGACAGGAGAGAAAGAGCTCTCTTTTTTTTTCTGCTCTATTTCTTAAACAGCAGCTAAAATTAGGACAGACAGCTCTGAAATGAATACTCTTCTGCTCCTTTCTCCAGGAACTCTTGATAATGGCATATGCCTGAATTTTTAGTTGTAAAGAACTTTTCTTAGGTGTTTACTTATTTTTGAGTGAAAACGGAAGTAAATTAAACTATAAACGATCTACTAACACTGGCCCACTGAATGAACCGTCAAAAATTTGTCAAGAAGCAGGCTAGCATGGCCAAAATATAAAGACAGATTTCAGTAATAAAAATAAAGAAATAAATAAAAAGGATGACTTAATGAAAACCTTGAGTAACTTGCTTGGTGCTATTCCACAGATAGAAGTACAGACAATAGGTACCCTGAATTTTGCTTATCATCAATAGAAATCGATTTCAGAGTCCTTCAATTTTGAAAGATTCTCATTAAGAGAAAGACTACAGTACAAAACATTCAGGTCTTGGAAAAAATCTGGAGGGACCACTCTGATATCTATCACTCTATGCTTCAGTGAGTAGGAGACAATTGTATTTTTGAATGAATACAAAAAAAGTATGGGAGTTATTTATATTGTAAAATTAGCCCAGTTATTCAAATCAAATGTTATCAAATTATTCAGACTATAAATAGCAGCAGTAGCTTTTACTTAGCATTATTTAAGATTTATTTAACATTTGACTAGATTTGACAATCCACTGCGCTGCCTACTTCCTTTGTATGGAAATAAACAGTGCAACTAGAGTACTAACTTCAGTGCTAATTTCCTCAGAAATATTAAGCACACAAACAAGATGTGCACGGTGTGATAATGGGTTGATGCTCTTGATCAAACTCGGAGTACCACAATACCACGCCAAGTAAAAGATGAGTTCATCAATTTCATTATTAATTCATACCTAGGAATACAGCTGTGCTCGTGTAGACCTGATGGAACAGCATGAGCATTAATTTTGCAAAGCAAAGTCTGCCTGCAACATGACATACAGCAGGCAAAATTCAGCTGCAATAGAATAACTGTCTGCTTCAAACAAATCCATTACTATCAATTGGTGCATAATTCTTTCAAAGTAACATAGTATTAAAGGCAGACTAAAATATTCGGCAGTATAAAATCAAATTTAGAGAACAGGGAACCTGAAGCAAGAAAGTGAGTAACAGTAGCTGTTGAAAGAAAAGCTGGTGGTAAATGCAGTTGGAAACAAAGTATGTGCTCCCTGCACAATGAATAAAGAAATGCTATGCTTTTCTTTTTCAGATTAGAACTACTTTACTTGTCAGTGTAAGAGACTTACACAGCTATTGCCATGGAAAATTCAATTAAATCTTGTGGTGAAAAGCTGAAGTGCAAGATAAAGTGCAGAGTATTTACCCTATATCCTCAGAACATATGGCTACCACTTTGTTTGGAAGAAAGAGAAAATTGCAAATACTAATTTGCAAAATCATGTATGAATCTTGCTTACTTATTTCAATTGTTAGTCCACTTATCTGGGTGAAGGAATTCCATGAAGCACATGGAGACTGGCAGGGATGCGCAGGGGTACTACAGAGTCAGCATACCAACCTGGGCCCTGGAACTACAATTACTCCACAGGAACAGCACATTTCTGAGGAAAAACATGCTACAAAAATTACTTCAAGTGGAACTTCACATTTGTTTGTCTTCTTCAATGTGTAACAGACCCAAATGCTGGAAAAAAAAGACTTGACCAAATTCCAAACTAACATGTCATCAGGTTAGAACCTGGCTCCTTTCCAACTGTTACTCTTCATGGAGGCTGTTGTTACAACAGCTTCACTGGCTGGCTCCCCAGTAGAGGAAAGGAAATAAACATGGCAAGGGCCGTTTATCAAATGTATGTTAGAGCTACCTGATTTTAGATGAGCCAGAACATTTTATGGTAAACAGAAAGATACGATTAATGATGATTTATGCTTTTTACCTCACTTGGAAAAAACAAATCTCAACCAAATAGGAGAATATTTGGCTCTACCTTTGAGAATCAAAGGTGCTCACCCACCCTTACCTGCTTCTACCTTAACGGCTGACTCACAGAATAGAAGCACAGAGTAATTCAGGTTCAGGAGGTCAGCTCTTCTCATACCCTCTTGCATACAGGACAGCTAACTTTGGTGCTGGATGAGGTTGCTCAGGATGTAGCTCAGTCATGTTCTGAATGACCCCCAGCCCACCCAGGCAAAATTAACAACCAGTGGCAGTGCCACCAGCTGAGCTTTGTTAGCCTTTGTCCCCACTTGGAAAAGTGAGTTAGTGGATCCACCATATCTACGGTGGGGCAATCTGAGTGCCCCATGAGAGCAAAGACCATCTCTGAAATTCAAACACCAATCTTGCAAATGATTTCACTGTTTTTAGTTGTAACAGAATACTCTCATTATCCTGAAAAAAATGACTTTTTATGATTTATGCTGACATGAATAAGTGCATCTTATTCCATTCCTCTTAAAAAGTACTCAAATTGCTTCTCTCTAGCCTTTTAGGTCATGTCATGTTACTGTGACACATAAATAGCATATATTTATACAGTTGTGTCATGTGGCATGACAGAAATCCTCAATAGGTGTAAAATGAGCCATACAAGAGAATATATATAAGTCCGCTAAAGTTATTAGCGGACTTATAAATATATACACATATAAATTATATTTAAAACATTATCAGCTGGCATTACATGATGCTCCAGAAGTGTATTTCTAGGTGAGATGGGACTTTTTTTTTTCAATTATTAGAGTATTATGATGAAGAATATATAAACTTACCTATTCATTTCTTCAAGACAGTCTGTTGCAAAGTAGAAGCTCTTAATTTTGGGGTGGCAGGCTTTGAAGGCACTATAAAATAAGCACAAAGAAAGAAAAAATGCCTTTTCTTTCAAACGTTTTGTCTATACAGATAAACAACACTGACCTGCTCTGATTCTTCAGCATGTTAGTTTCCACTGCTATTCTGAAAGTTCAGCCTGAATCTCCCGCTGTATAAACTTACAGACACATTTCTACCAGTCTGATTACATATATATTTGTGAGCTAACTGGTACTAACTAAAAACTTCAAAAGCTCTCCAACCACATAGAAAATATAAATCCCTTCTAATAAGTACTGACTCTAAAAATGACTTGGATGAATTTGTAAATGTTGTTGGGTGTATTTAAGTACATATTAGTTGCATTCCGGAGGTCAACTATTCCAAGAGAGTTAAGACTTTGATCCCATGGCCTTTTCTTTTGTATTTAAATGGCTGTTTTAAATGACTTTAATGGCATCTTAACATTAATAAAGGAGGAAGAGAGGGAACACAAAAATGACAAACCAGATGGTAATTTTGTGCAACTGTAGATGGCATTAGAAACACACCGCTACCCAATTCTCTTTACTTAAATCATAGATGTTAACACAAGTAGAATCATTTAAACAAATGCGTATGTTTCCTGAATTTGATATATTTTCTAAATCCTTAGCTATCATCTCTATTCTTTTTGAACTTAACAAAAACAATATGGAAAGATTGTTTCTTTTTGGTCACCTGCCTTGCTCATTATCAGCACACTTGTTTTTATTTTACTGTGCCTCAAATCTTATAGCCTTTCTGCGTCTTTTTCACTTACAGAAACAACCAGGTTAACTTGAGCTCCTGAATAACAGCCTGACAAAAGCGAAGCTGTAAGAGGGCTGTTGCTGTGCGCCATCGCTCCATTCCTTCCCCAAAGGAAGGAGCTTCCTTCAGCGCTCACTCGCCCGGTGCAGCTCAGTCCCAAGACAGCCCTGGCCTCCCAGCTCCAGCTGGGGATGGATGGGGCTGCTACCAGCCTCCAGGCAGGAGCGAACAACGGGCTCCACATCTTACACCATGGCTAGCAGGGAAGCGCCATGGATTGGAAGGTAACGTCGTGAAATGCGATGGTTGTAGCGTGCATTAAAACCTTCCTATACAGAAAACTTTTTAAAATGGTATAATCCCTAAAATCTCCCTCAGTTGAGCAGTTATTTGAAAGTTAAGAACAATAACCTTTTTAGGATTTTTGTGTGTGTGAATATAATTAAAAGAAGGGTTTTTATCAAGGCATATTGAATTTCAAGACATTCAAGAAAATTGAAGACTATGTTGTTTACTAGTTGAAACAAAAAAAAAGAAAAAAAAACCCTTCTACCATTCTTAACTATCAGGGTAAAATACTGACCTCTATACAGCATTACTAAACTCAGCAACTAGGTTAAAATCATTATACATGGCATTATGAAATACCTGTGACACAGGTTTATATTATTAATAGCTTAAAAGCAAATTAATGTTTTATGATGTAGTATTATTAATAGAAATGCACACATTAATAGAATTTCCTAACAAATTTCACAAAGGAAACAAATTAACTCCAAAGAATTATTTCTGTGCTGTTTCATTTTTCATGAAAATAGAGATATATTAAGATTAGATTAAGATATTATAGAGACAACTGTAAGGTTAAATTTGGGCAGGGGGCCATCATAAAGCATCTTAAATCTACAAAACAAGTCTTAAGAGTTACTTATGTATTGATACAGCATCTGGACATTTCACCTGCAGATCCCAACTTCACTAACTACTTGTGATAATTAGAAGTATGTTGCAAACTCTTATTACAAGAATTTGTGGCAATTTAATGAAGTGAAAAGGCAAAAATATCCAACCCATGTAAGTTATTAGCAGATGGAAAGGAATAAGCAAGCAAAAGAGGCATGATATTCTAGCAATTACTATAAATATTACTACAAAGACTACAAATAACAAACAGCACAGTCTTTTGCAAAAGAAAAATCCATGGAAAATGCCCATTAGGATGGAAACTTCTCTGATATCCACTAGATGGCATACGCTTGTTAGTTATATGTACTGAATTTCAAGACTTTAATGAAAGAGATTTTGATCACTATATATTTTTATATACTCTGATCAATCTCATGATCTTTACTGTGCTAATATGATTTCAGCCTGATATATTCTAATGATTGTTACTCTCTAGCTTTGTAATTCTTACTACTTTTTACTCCCTTCATGACAGTTGACTAAGAGCATTCTCCAATTTCTCTAGCAAGGACATATCTTATATATATATATAATATATATATACACGCATATATCCATACGTGCACACACACACTAGGCACTGGACATCTTCCTTACGTACTTTTAATATTCAAAATAGAAAGTCATTGTTAAACAAAATATTCCTGCATTGTTATACCACTTCAGCACAATACACTCTTCTCACAGGTTTCCTTTTAGGAAACTCTGTTTTCAGATGCAACATCTCTGCTTCCTGTTCTTCCATTTGCCCCAATTGTTTTCCAGCCCCGAGATTTAAGTATCAGCTCAAATTGCACAGAATCATGTGGTGGATCTGAAGTTTTTAATCCTGATTAATCCTGTTAAAATTTCACATGATGGAGTTGCTGCTTGCAAATACGATTATTTTCCTCAAAAGGAAATTTTCATACATGAAAGAATTTAAAATGACAATACTGGATTTTCAAAGCAAACCTTTTATAAGCGAGGACGTAACAGAGCTCCAGTGATAAACAGAACTTGACTTCAGCTCCGCTGGGTCCTTCTCAGCACAGCTCCTCCCTGCCAGGACCCCGGAACGGGCCCCTCACTCACACGTGCAGGATGTTGCAAGGTCTTGCTGCTTTTAAGACCTCCGTTAACCCATTCTTCCAGCCTGTGCACATCCTCTGTGACAGCCCTGCCATTGAGCTGACTACTTCCCCAGTGCAGCTGTCATCTAAGCCACTAATGTGGCACCAGTGGCGTGTTCCACCATTTGGGAATGTTGTTCTGGGAGGGACATCTGTAGTCTTTTAAATCTAGTTCCCTGCTAGTACCCTGCTAGTTCTGGCATCATAAGGCAGCATGCAAGGATGGTTCAGGCACCATCCTTTCCACAAAAAAATAAAAAAACCCTGAACACAGAGCAGCTTTCAAAATGGATCTACATTTCTACCTAAGTCAAATCAGTGACATTTTACACAGAATTTTGATTGCTCAGTTTCAATATGAGGGGCCAACAGCATGGCATACACACTCCTAATTTTAAGACATAAATCTGCATTCATTATGTAATGAAAATTTTTACTAAGTTCACATTTTTTGAAAGTGCAAGGGAATTCATTACTTAACAGTGCTTACTTATGTACTGATTCCCATTAAGTCTTGTGGATCAGCTTCATCAAAGGGCATTATAATTATCACTATTCTTGAAAACAATATGATATTCGCATTAAGTCACACCAAAATTTAAATGACAAAAAAATAACAGAGTATGATCATTTTTAATCATGAAGATGCAGGCGGTGCCCAAAGGCAACAAAAAGTTTTTCAGTGCCAACCTAAGAAATCTCCTCTAGCAGGGACAAGGTCATTCTACATCCAAATATAGCCTGAAATCATTACTGTGATTCCAGAGGAGAGCTAAAACAGTCTGAGATAATGTCATGATTCCTATAATAATCAGAGTACCTTCATTAAATGCATTAGTGAGGCAAATCAAACCATTCAGAATAATACATTCAATGATCATACATTCTCATCAAAACTTTCTTAAGGCTATTTCATGCAATGTGTCCTATGGACTTGACTAACTGTTGCTGTATAAAACAGCATTCCAAGCCTGACAGAGCACTAGAAAAGAAAAATTTATTCATTATTTAAAAAGACTTTATATTTCTAATTTGAATTAAGCAAGTCTTTGCTCGATTAACATTTCCCATTAACAGCTCTGAAATGAACAATTTCAAGACCACCAAGCTCAGTTCCAAGACCTGAAAGAAAACTGATGCTGTGATTTTAGCTGGACTTTGTTATGCACTAAAATACTAAGCACTCTCTTTAGACAATTTTAATTTACTTAAAAATATATGAGCATAAAAAACAGGTTTACTTCATCTTAATCATATTAAATATCAAGACAACTGTTTCGTTAACTTTCTCAGCAGGATAGTTTAAAATGGAATGGTTTAAAAAGGACAAAAACATTCTAAAGTAGAAAGAGGAAAGAAGAGATCTGGTTAAAGACTACAGACTATCCTAGCACTACGAGAGGGAATTACAAAGCACGTGTTGGAACTTTTCTGGAGTATGCTGGGGCAGAAGAGACCCTCATTAAGGAGGCTACACAGAAAAGGATCACTATGTGCTGTGTGCTTATGGTGGTGGGAAGGACCCTCTATTCACACAAGTTGGATTTACTGAAACAAAACTGTACACTGTAGTTTTCAGTTTGCATGTTCCAGAACAGGAAAATAGTGCTAAAAGTGTTGTTTTTATGATTGGAGAAAGATATGAATGATAGACCATGAAGGAAGCAATCAAAGTCTAATTTTGTTAGTAGAACAGGAAATCATAATACCTTCACATTTTTAACACTGGACCTACCTCTTCTTGAAAAGATTCAGTGCCTGAAGGTATTCGGTTTTGAGCACTTGCAAAGCTTTAGGTATATTTCTTCTTTCCTTTGTACATACGTGTTACAGAGATTGTTCCCTAAGAAGTGTGCTTTGTAGTGCTTAGAGCAAGTCTCTGGAAGCTATTTCCAAGCTCTGCGCTACGACCCTGTGTTTGATCTTTATTAACACATTGAAATTGCTTAAGTGTTAACATTCTAACATTTCTAGATATTTGTTCAATATGATTATTAATATCTACTCATACCTCACAGGAATATTATGGTTCATGTTTATTTTCTAAGTGATTGACTCCTCAGTTGAAAGGAGTAATAAGAGAGTAAAGCTGCAGTGTCTTCTATTTCTCAGACAAAAAGTAACTATCATCAAAGCTTCAGACAAAAGCAAGCAGTTGAAAAGGGTTGATTTTCTGATCAACAGACTCTAGTACAATTTATGTATTCAGTAATTCCCCATACAGATGTTCATATCTGTAGGACATATATACCTGAGACCAAGATCATGTTTAGTCATTAGAAAAGCATGAAAAAAATTCAGAATGCCTAGTTTTAACTAGGAAATCTTTGACCAGAGAATATCATTAATGCTGCTCTATATAGCTCCAGAAGTTTGCAAGTTTCAACTATCACAGATGCAGCATATAGAAAACAGATGTAAGTCAGGAGATACTGATGAAGTGCTAGTCTCAAAGCATTACAGTTGTTCTGATGATCCTACTGTTCTTGACAGATATGAATTCCACTCCCAACACTTGGGATTACAAACAATTTTCAGGTTAGAGTGGTGCCAATGAGTGTTAGTTACTAAATATTCCTTAGATGTGGAAAAGTTTAACATATGGTTTATTCTGGGAGCACAGTGCAGCAGTAGCTATAGGCACATGAGCCACAGAAAGATTGAAACACAGTCATTTTGCATGTGGAAACTAAATATTTTAACAGCTGATAATAACTCAATACTAGGTATACAAGCTTTCTCCATAAAGCAGAAATGGAGATTATACGCATGATCAGTTGCTACGATATTAATTATATTTTCTGTAGTAATTCTTTCCTGTACACTGGATTCTCATCTTAAAGACTCTACTGAAGACAGCTCTGTTACCTCATCTGTTCATGTTTTTTTGTTCCACTTATTTAACTGAAACTCAAACTGGGCTACCTGGAAAGCTAACCAGGAGATATCAAATTCTTTTAAGATTGCTTATGATGTTGACCTCATGATACATCTTTTTAAAAAAAAGAGATACAGAAAAGCTTAAATAGGCCTATTCCTTATCCAAGGTTGCCTGATTACAAATTTTTAGTACTATACACATGTCCAAGAGTGAAGCTTTCATTTATAAATACAGCTGATACATTACTTACTGTTTCCTTCTGCATTCGATGGCTCTGTCTATCCTGAACTCGGGTAAACTGATGAATCCCTCTGCTTTTTCATCCTATCAAAAGAGAAGAGGAAGCAGCAGTGAGAAGAGCAGAGTTGAAGCATAGTGCAATGAACAGTAGCTCTTTGGGTCTAACACTAAAAATAACTGCCCACCCAACTGAAATAATGAGCACATCTTCTCCATACTGTTTTTACTTAAGTATTTAGATTGCTTAATAGTGCGATGTCAGTATCTTGACGAATTAAATAAATAGATGGTTTCTTAAATAACCTGCTATCATTCCAATGCCCTTTGGCTGAGGATTACACAAAACTTCTGAACACTAAAAACAGCAGCCAAAATACCATTCAAGACATTAACAGTTATAGAAAAGAATTGTGAATACTTTCTATTAGTTCAAATAAACCATATCTATGCTTTCTGTAAGAGCACTGTCAACCTTTGCTATTTCATTAAGTTTGGACATGGGTTTTTAAGACTTTAAAAAATGTATTTCAATGGAAATACTTACATTTAAAGTGACCCAGATCCAGCAATTATATTGAGACTCCAATAAGATACTTCACCATTAGTAAAAACAGACTTTATTTATTTAAAAGAAGGATAAACCCTAAGATTTAATTTTGGCTTTCTTCAAACACAGATTATACTTACATTCTGATTTGTGTACCAGTACAAGGAAGAATCCTTCAAAATAAACCAGTATTTTTTCCATTTCTGTGTAAAGTAACCTTTAGCATCTTTTTTCTTCCACAGCCATCCTTCACAATCTCCGTGTCCCAAATCTTTGCAGGAAATCCGTCTTCTGCTTCCACTTGTTAGAGAGCCACCTGATAATGTGACGATAACGTGAGCGATTTCTCTGAAGGAATTATTCTCAGGATAAACACATAGCTAGTGTCTAATGATGAATCAACCCTAAACTCTTCAAGCCAGGTCCTCCCCAATTTCAGCGAGGGGAGAGATCCAGCAAATCATTTCCAAATGTCATGCAATTTTAATTGTTTGGAACACAAAATAAAGGGGCCCTATTTTATTACACTCCTTTAATCTCTAATAGGTTCCTTCTTTCGAGGGCCACATTCATTTCTAAGCTGGACATCATGCCAAAGTAAAAACATACTGATTTTGCCTTCAATCTGAAACTCACAGAATTTGTTATTACTTTTCCTGTTACTACTTTGACAGTCAGTCAAATCCTGTAATTTTTAAAATTTTAAAGTCAATATTTAGAGTCAATAAAATAATAATTTACTGCCATAAAAATGCACTTCTTGAATTATGATTCAAATTTTTTAGGAAATAGCAAAATATACAGCTACCACCTTTCTCCTACCTAAGTCAAAGGAAATTGTATCTTAGAGTCTAAATATACTACAAGCTGGATACCTTAAAAGAAATTATTTACTGCCAAATTTATAAATATTTGAATTAAAGCAAATTTTCAGACTTGATCCAAACCACTTACTATCAGGGAAAAACTTTCATTTTCAGCTTTCAAATATTAACTCAAATGATTTTACCTTTTGACCATTTTCTTGTTTTTACCCTGAGGGAAGAGTAATGGAATGACTGTAAGAAAAGCAAAAGAATTATGAAAAAACAGTGCATATAGCAGCAGTAACACAGAACAGCCAGCATTCACCACTATCTCCATGAAGGATTCTCAGGGTCACTTTTTTTTTTGCCTTTTTTTTCTCTTAGCATTATAAACATCACAAAGAAAACAACACAGTCCTAAACCTACAAACCAAACCTCATTTTTTCCACCTACTAGTCACAATTCATTTGAAGAATCCATCAAGGTTTCCCTGGAAGACTGCTTGAGCCGTAGCTTTAAAATCAAGCATGTAAATTTACAGAAATATATAATAGAGTGAATGATACATGGACTTGCTAAGTGTGAGATGGCTGTACAATTATTTATTCAAAATGAAATGGCTACCACAAATATTACATAGTTAACACATGAAAATCAAGTTTTTGGTGATCTGCTGAAATCAAGTTCTCTGTTTCCAAGCATATTGCTTTGCTATGTTGACAAAATAATTCTGAGGAGAGTTATTCCCTTCTTTTTTGTCTGCAATACAAATACATTACCGATACTTAAAAAAAATCCTAAAAGGCCTCTCTCATCACTTAAACCTTTTAAAAATAGCAATACTACTCAAATAATGATAAGGATTTATCCCAAACCAGGAAAACGCTAGAGGAAAGAACACAGGTCACCCTGATGGAGTAGCACCCTGCGTGGCAATGGAGAAGAGGCAGGCGTTCACAGCAGCCCCATTTGCCTCCAAACGGCCATCTCTGTCACTCACTTGTGCTGTCCTGTGTCACACAATCAGGCTTGCAGCTCGCAGGGAGTCCAGCAGGATGGGGCCTTCAGCACGGCCTAGGTTACCTCTGTGGTAACGTGCTGCTCTTGGCTATATACAAGCAAATAACTCCTGCCAGAGACCAGCTGGCTCCTGCCCCACACTACAGCAGCCCCTCACCATGCGCTCCAGAAGCTCTAAAAGCAATTGTGGAATATATTACTAAATAAGGGCCTAAATAGCACAATATTTTTAAAGTAAATTCTTGTTTCAATTAATATTTAAGGAAGTGGAAGATTATCATTTAAGTTCTATAAAAAGCAGCATCTGAAAATAGACTTTCAATTACTGGAGAAGCATAGGCTAAGTTTTATTTTGAATAGAAACAGAGGGAGATGTTTTGCATATGCAGAGTCCTATCTGTAACCCTTCTGTAAGATATCCAACGTGCTACACTGAACGGCAAGGACAGCCTCTAACACCTTGTGTTAATGACCGACTCTGTGGCCAGAGGGAGCTGGCGCGGAGCAGCCCAGCTTGCACATCCACAGCTCCCTCCGAGCTCAGCATTCCTTCCCCGGAGCTTCTTACACTATTCTCCTGGGAAAGCACTTCATGAATGCTTCACACAAGATACACTAACTTTGACACATGACAAGTTCTGTATATGTATGTGCATTATATTGGTGCAAGGCAGCAAATGGAGAACATGAACAGCTTCCAATTTATCTTTTTTGAGCATTAGAGAAGACAGAGAAAAGACCAATTATACTTGCTGCTGCACTCTAGGAAATATGGTGGGAAGCAGGTAGAAAAACGGGAAGAAAGGGATAGCTTTGAGAAGGTATTGAAGATACACAGCAACTTTGTCACATTTATCAACGCACTGTGTCACCGCAGTACTGGTTGGCTATACAGTGCCAGCTGGAACACTACAGTGACTGTGACTCAAACGATCTGCTCCGCGTGCCTCCTTGTGCACAGAAATGCAGGTACCCACTCCTGTACCAGACATCACCAAACCTGTCCACAATTTAGGCTGATAAATACTGCGATGAAGAATGAGTTCCCTACAATTAAAGCACAGTTCCAAAACAATCACAGTGTGATTCTTTCCTAAAGAACTGCAAGAAAAAAACAAACAAGCTGGATGAAGTCATTTTTTAAGTGAACTAGAGATGTTCACACTAAGATACAACAAACTGGTGTATATGATTCAGTACGAGTTTTAAAAATAATGAAAATTCAGGCACAAAAAAAAAGACCAAGAGGAGCTGAAAACATTAACAACTCTCAAAAATGCAAGTTCATTGGTCTTGCTATATTTTCTGTGCATGCTTTACAAATGCATTAAAAAGCAAGAAAACCATAGAAAGTAAAAGCTTTGCATTATCTTGGGAACAAAAGCTTAATTAGCAATGCTAACTTACAAACTTCATATTCTAGTAGATAGAATAATACTGGCAAGCAGTATAAGAAAACAATCAGAGTTTGCAACTTCAAAATGACTGAAAGTTGCTATGGAGAACAAACAGATGATGTGATAACACACTGTGGTTGTCAGTATTTAAGTTCTCATCGCAAAACCACGACACAGAGTATGATGTTAAACGAAATGCAATCTCTCCCACAGCTCAACATGTCGTGGAAAAAAATGTGATAGAGCAGCAGCTCTGCTACACGAAGCTGAAGCAGGGGTATCTCAGCATAACTACAGTGAAGCAGTAAGAGTTTTGTTTGTTTGCCACAGGATTGCCAAAATGAAAAGTTACGCTGTATTTAAAGAATTCCCTGGAAACTAGCAATTAAGTTACTTGCCAAGATGAAGGGAAGCAATCCTATTAATGCAAATCCGGTTGCACATACCTTCGCTATTTTGAGCCTCATGAGGTTTTACTTAAAAACATCAAAATGTTTCAAAGAAAGCAATCACCACGTTCATTTGCAGAGTACACACAACACAGGGCACGCAGCACTTGGTTCCTCAGTGTATGTCTAATACAATATTATTTTCAGTGCCTTAATCCCAAAGGACAGCCACAGTTTCAAGTGTTTTTTTCAATGATGGCAGCAGACAAGTAGAGATTAGAGTCACATTATCAATAACACAACTACAAGTTTTCACAAACACCAGAAAATTTAACCACACATCTTCCTCCAGTGGTCTCCCATCAGTGATCACAGATCTTTCATCACTGGTCTTTCGTTTCACTGAGCAAGAACTTAAAGGGCAGAGCAACATCTAACACATGGCAAAAGGCACAACTCCATGGTTTACACAGACAGATGAAAACCCTCCCTGTACTGCAGCTAACGAGAATGAGCACCAGACTTCTCAGACAGGAAGAAACCAAGACAAAGTTCAAAGACAAACTCTTCACTCCTACGTAGTGAAACAAGTGCTAAACTGTAACGCAGAAACAAGCACTCTCTAAAAAAAAACATTTTGTTATTCCTCATATAAAATTTTTTCAAAATACTAAATTATAAAAAATAGTAACATCTAAGATCTTCAAAAGATCTTCAAAACTAGTTCTGTAAAAGTCTTGAAAAACCGTAATCTCTTATCTCATTATAGCATGCATGCTATCCCCATATATTTGGATTTTTAAAATCTCTTTACCTTCAAAGCAAACTACCCGCTCAGTTCCTTTCCAATCTAGGCTTTTTTACAGTTCTCTTCCCTAAACTGGAATTTACCTCAAAACACATACTTAAGCTCCCATCAAACATACTGAAATGCACTACATACACACTGACATGCTATGGCTGCACTAGATGCTTTTCTGAATATGTAAATTATTATTATTATTATTATTTTTAATATAGACAAATTTCCAAGTCTGCAATACCTAAAGTATCTTTGGAAATATGACAATAGAATAGAATAGAATAGAATTGTTGGGGATTTCTGTTTTAAGTACTGTTCTAATTGATTACCTTCCTCATGGATGTGCTTCCGTGACGGTCAATTGCAGAACTAGCACATCTAGAACAGAGGAAGAAAGAAAAAATAGAGAAAAAAAAATCTGAATTAATGCATTTGCACATAAGTTCTATGTATTTCTATATGTACACCTACAAATTTAATTGTGCTTCAGAAACATGTAAAATATGCTGCTTGAAAACTTACTCCTTTGAACACTTACCCATTTTCAAAGAACATTTAATACTTTTAAAATATATTAGTTTGCAAATACCTATCGGAACTGATATGCCAAGATTTCACAAAGATGATGGTGTGGAGAAGTTGACTCTAGCTAGAAAATGAACAACCACTAACCTTTCCCAAAGCAAGTCCAGAGCCGGCCCCAGCTGCTATGGTCATTTTGCTTTTTAACGTCAGTATCAATGCATTAGCAAAACTACCATACTGCTTAATTCTGCTTAATTGCAAGAAAGCTTTTAGCAGAATGCAGTTGGGAACTATGTATCTTTGGGAAGGCCCAGGCAAAATTTCACTTCAGAAACTATCAGAGATTTTCTGAACACAAACACTCAGTGTTCCGACACTGCAATAGTCTGTACATGGTATGGCAGAAAAGGAAACCACTGAACCAGTGCCTCTTCAATAGGCCACTTTCTGAATTCTGGTGTTATTAAGAGCAGATTTTCTGCACACCTTTCTCATACAAACCCTGTGGACAGAATCACCTTGCTCAACAAACTTAGCAGCAGTGCTCTTTCTAACTTCCTTTGAAATGCCGCAATAGCGAGGGTTGTCACCAAGGCTCAGACTAACCAGCGGTGCTCTGAAATTTTCAGCACTCACAGTTCTTTTCTTTCACCTCACAGAGGATAGAAAAAAGCCAGGAAGATTACAAAAGAATGGCCGGAATGATCAAAATGTACATTGATTCTATGATTTATTTCTGATAATTTTCACAGAAAATAGTTGTAATTACTTTTAATAAAAAGGTGTTCACCAAATTCCATCTGGTGACCCCAAACAGGAAATATGTCTGATCATTTTTGTTCAGTGAGCTAAAATCATGCAATTATCAGTGTATTTTACAGTTTCAACAGTTTTTCATATTTATGGAAGTCTTTCAACCATTTTGAAAAGAATGCCAAATAACTACTTTGTAGATTCCAGGAGTCATATTCATTTACTACGATTGCAAAGCTTTTTCTTATTTTAACTTTATTTTAACTGTTACACATTCTATGATCCTACATAGCAACTTTTGCACAAACTAAGCAGATTTCTTCTCCTCAGCCATCTGTCTCTCTGAAGACAACCAAAGGCAACAC